CAAGTACTAATCATCGCATTTCAATGAAACTTGGTACATAGATCCTTTAGAACTATGCAGAGACCCAATTAGTTTTTGGTAAATATTTGTGCATATTAATCACCTAATTTGCATAATTAACCAATTTCCAACTTTCACACTGATATCTCAGGTACTAATGATCACATATCAATGAATGTTTATACATGGATGCCGTAGGACAATAGACAGACCTGGATAATTGTGGGTTAAAATCTGTACATATTAATTACCCAATTTGCATAATTAACCAATTTTAAGCTTTCACACTGATATCTAAAGTACTAATTTCCATTTGAATGAACTTAGTACAAAGATGCTCTAGGACAATGTACAAACCTAATTAGTTTGGGGTAAAACTCTGTTCATATTATTTCCCTAATTAGCATAATAATTCATAATTTTTTGGTTCTAATCACATTTCAATTAAACTTGGTACATAGAGTTTTTGTTACATTGCGCAGACCTCATTAGTTTTACAATCAAATCTGTTCATGTTAATTTTCTGATTTGCATAATTAGTTTTCAGCTAAGTAATTTCAAATTATATTTAATGTGTCTCCAATACTCTCAGCACATGGGAGTTCTTTCTAAGCTTTCATTGATTTAAAGACTGATCTATGTTAGTATGGTCATACATGATCAAAAGATTGATCTAAGATTGGATGTAATGGCTGCAGCTTACCCATACCTTGCATTGGCGTTTCACACATTTGGGTTGAAACTGGATCATTTATAAATTATGCCTCTTACATACAACATTTATGCTAATATTGATTTTTTTTTCAGGTGTTCGCCATAGAGTTGGTTTCTTATTTATGTTTGCAGTATGCACTTCCAAAGTCTCTAAGCGTAGCAAGGTTATCTATTAACGTGATGTCCACTCTTCTCACAGGTTAGCTAATTCATGAACGTTATAGTCTTCCTAATTACACCACCACACTACATAGCTGCATATGATATAAAGATCATGTCTACAAGCTACGAGCAGTTCATCTTGTCTTATACCTTCACATATCTTTCGTGTTTCATATTTTTTTTTTACAAAACAGTTTTCTGCATTTTAAAGCAGTTTGCTACTATTGAGACTGGTGATCATATTTTAGAATTTACAATATGGTTTATGCTGTTCATAAAACAATATATGATTAGCAAACCCTTCACACAAATCATACATGACAATGAAATATTTCAATTTTATGTTTAAAAAGGTTTTATCACAGAATTTTGTTTGGCTACATATGGTGAGAAATTCATATGCTGTAATAATAGGAAAATTGTGATAAATACTAAAATTTTGTATGAAATAATGAATTTCTATGGAAATTGTTCCAAAAATTATCCTTTTTCTAAAAAAAAATGCTTTTTACAGCATAAATAAAAAAAAAAAATTGGGTATAATCTCATTTATACATTTGTATACCTTTTATACATCAAATACTTTTACATAACTTACAGCTTTTCATAAAACAAAAATGATAGACTTGTTGAATGTTAATAAAAATACATGCAATATTAGAGACACTGAGTGAATAATATCACATGAGACAATGTGAGATTTCACCTGAATGCTCATAGCTCCAGCCTTACTTTAATATGATCATCTTGTAATTAAGGTGAAATTAAAAATCCCAATCAGTCAGAGTTGTATCAAAACAGAAAGCATTGTTAATTAGCCGTGTTCCAAATAACAATCTTTACCAAAAGAACATTGTACTGCTACAAAATGTAAGTTTTCTCTTGATTTCAATTTATCTAATTTGTTCATGTTTCTGATCTGTATTGCAGTATTACCAAGTGATAAACGAAGTCGTTTTTTTCTGCCTACATTACCAGCCTTAGTTAGAATATGTCAAGCTTTCCCACCGTTGTATGATGACATCACATCTATGTTACAACAGATGGGTAGGATATGTAACTCTCATTCTTCTGTCGTCACAAATAAACCACTCAAACAGTTAGGTAAGTTAAACTCATTAATAATCAATTACATAATGTGTTACAATGGACATAGCTCTCATATATCCTATGTAACAATTTACCGAAGATGACTTGTATGTCACATACTAGCAAAATTAACAGGTTGCATATTAAATAAATATATGTAATAATGGCAGTATTTGCAGTTACCCAGTATGTATGTATGTATGTCTGTCTGTATATGTGCATTTATGCATGTCTGTTCCATGAATATCTGAAGAACTGTTCAACAGATTTTAATTGACCTGATTAGTTTTGGTTTATAAAATCTGTACATATTGTCATCTTAATTTGCATATTCATTATATTTCACTGAAACTCGGTAGATAGATGCTTTGGAACATTATGCAGCCCTGCATATAATAAATATTTGAACGTTCTACCAATATTTCAAGTACTAATCATCACATTTTAATGAAACTTAGTTTAATGTTGAAAACCGTGCATACTAATTTATCGGTATCTAGGTTTTATGAGCCAATTTCTGACTTATTTAAACTGTACTTGTGGCACAGGTGCTCAGAAATAAATCACACTGCAAATCACAGAATGATGTACAATCAAACTTATTTTCCGTGAATGTTCTAAATTGAATCAATATTGTGAGTTGCATTGATTTCACGTTGTGCATCGCAAATAGCAGGCCTATATTATTCAATAAGTTTCTTGCTTGAAAATAAAGTCTTAAATTTTGAAATAATTTTAAAAACTCCATATTTTAACTTTATATCTCCTATAATTTCAGCACACTGGAACTTTTTCTAATCTTTATTTGATTTTACAAGATGCTGTAGCGGCCAAAGTTTTTGACCAGATAGCCAAATTCTGAAGGTCAAGCAACTGGCCATGTGCTCACCAATTTTCATAACTGTAACCACAATTCTTAAAAAAAAGAAATTACCCACAATACCCCATATTGGATCCTTTAATCAACTTCTTCTCAATGGCCACTGGACAAAATGAGCCAACATTTTGCATGTGCTTAGTATGCAACTAGTTGTGTAATCTCAAGTAGTTTGAACTTAAACTGTTGAGTGAGAAGCGATACAAAATTTCCAAATAAGATAACTGCCAAAACGTTGGACCGGTCACTATTTTAAAGTGCACCAGTTCCCATTGGTATGCATCAGCACATAAAGCCATAGTCTCAAACCCTCAACAACAAAAAACTTACATCATCACTGATCCACTTCATATTTGGCATATTGCATTAATGGTCACAGCTTTTTACGAGAAAAGTGAAAAAAAAAAATGTTGACAAGTCACATGGTTTGGCTGCCATCTTTGGTTTTTGACAAAGATGACCACAAATTTGGTTTCTCACGAATGCTTCAAGCAATCAACTTAATGTCGCTTGCAGCTTTAATTTTTTGTGATTTAAACGATAAGGGTGACTGGTAGCTATTTTGTTTTTTATGCCAGTTTCTCTTTTTATTTAATCATAGGTAGTATTATAATGAACTTGTGATTGTATAATATTGATGCTCATACTCTGTTTATTTGGTAGGACTGAATGGCAGCTCACATGCAGTCATTGGTAGAGAAAACAGGGAGCAGCAAATATCAGAACATCTTCTGAAAACATCAAATGTGGATTTGGCTATGTGTGTTGCTGTGCATCAAACATTTCAAGACATTGTTAGTTTTGCTGTCATGACTACAACATAATTGGATGCATTAACATATGGTGACAGACATGGACATGTGTGATTGTTTTTTACTATCGATTTTATAGGGATGAGTATCATCATTTATTCCAACATCGCTTCATTTTGTTGTTCTGCTTTTTGTTTACTTCTGATGAAAACTGAGTTCTGAAAGATGTCCTGACAACGTTATTGAGACACTGTATTTAATTAACAGGCATTAAACAAAGAACCAGTGTCAGTTGTTGGGACGGGTGTTTGACAGTACAACTTTTACAATAAAATGGTTATCAAGAAAAACTAACTGTCTGAATGAAGAAACAAAACAATAATCATATGCATAAAATGATTGGCACCCGCAAAATGCATGTCGAACAAAAATATCTTCTCATTCTTGAATTTTCTCAGCTTCTTAATTGATGTACAGTACTGTACCAGGAATGTAAAAACAAACAACTTGTTTGTTATTAGCAGCTAACAGATTTTTATCGTTATTTTGATTTCAAAACATTGTCTTTTTATTTCTTTAATTCTACAACTATAATAATATGCCAATGCATATCCAAACTGTATATACAACTGAACTGACTGAAATTACTTGACACAAATTGTAAAAGATTGAATGCAAGACTAGAAATGCAACACTTGTTTCTCTTATAGAGAAAAATACATGATACACCTTTCTTCTACATGTATCATGATGGACAGTGATTGGTAGTTTGGCAATATTTCCTGTTTAATAATTAAATTTGTTTTTACAGAAAGGTTACAATGTATATATATCTGTGAAGAGAATTCAAGAATATCAGTATCATACTTTACATTGTTTGAGGATGGGCTTCAAATAAAAGTACCTATTTTATTTTTACATTTGCCTCTGATTGCATTAATATGCAAATTACATACAGTAATTATATGCAATTAGCTGTCCCCTTTTCCACAGATTAAATTCAAACACTGTGTTTCAAACATTTCAAGATATTGTTAGTTTGGCTGTTATGAATATAACATAATAAATGTACTGATGCATGGTGACAGCATAGACTTGTGTGTTACAGGGCATCAAATATTTCCAGTATTGTTCAGTTCTTTGTCTAAAATACAACAATATTACCTAAATTGTGGTACATATTGACCACTAATTGAGTCCAGTTCCCCTGCATTCAATAATAAAGATGCAAACGTAGCAGAATGCTGTCCTGAATTTTTTTTTTGGTAATTTTTGACAAAAAGATGCTATTTTAGAATTCATATTGAAAGCTACCAGCTCAATGAATTTGACACTTAGCATGTAGGTACCTTGGGTGAATCTCCATCAGGTTTGTTAATTTTGTGAAGACACATGCAGTTCTCTAATGTTAATAGTTATCATGGGTGGGCCTCTGCAAGATTTGTAACCAGATAACAATTGTAATTACTATGGTAACAACTATAGACTACCATTGTTGTATAGTTAAAGTACGGCTATGAGGAAGCTAACGGTAGTTAAGAGTCTGCCAACCTTCGACATTGGACAGTTTTTGTTCAGTATTACTAGGAAAATACTCTTTCTTAATTCCAAACAGTACTATTCACTAGTTTATTTGTTCTTAACAATGCTTGTTTACTGAGACAGTATTTTTCATTGGTTCCAAAACAGTACCCGCTTACTAGTTTATTTGTTCTTAACAATGCTTGTTTACTGAGAAAGTATTTTTCATTTGTTTCAAACAATACCTGCTTACTAGTTTC